GCTCACTCACCCCCACCAAACAAGTTGTAATTGTATGTTATATTAAATAATATTGCTTTTTTAACTATACTATAATAAATTGTATTATACTGTATATACTGTAGTACTTAAAGGGACTAAGCTGAAAAGAACATGAATGAATGAATGTAGTATTTACAACATTCTATTAATGAATGAAGCAACATACAGGAGTATTAACTATCATGAACATCAATCAATTGCAGTATAGTTAAAATGTGTGTGTGTGTGTGTGTGTGTGTGTGTGTGTGTGTGTGTGTGTGTGTGTGCGTGTGTGCGTGTGCGTGCGCGTGCGTGTGCGTGCGCGTGCGTGTGTGTGTGTGTGTGTGTGTGTGTGTTTGTGTACACATCTACACATTCTACTGTCATGTAATAGGCAAATATCAAACTGAAGCAAATGTGTTAAGCACAAGTGTTTATGTGCAAAATCTAATGTATTTCTTTCTGTTTTTACATCTACTTGCATTAAATCTGATTTAGGTTCACAACTTGCATCCTACAACATCCAGAGTAAGCACAACTGTGAGGGAGACACCATCCATGGCATGGCTGAGGGTCCACACTGAGCATCTCATCCGCAGCATGAAGCAACACAGGATGGACAGTCATCATCTCTTTCTTTTACAGTGAGCACCAACTGGATTTACACAATGGCTTGCCTTCTGCATGAGTAAAAGCTTGAGCTAAAGATTACAGAGTTCACACGCTGTACATAATGTATATGTTGTTGCCTGCACTGCAGAAATATAAAGTTGTCAATATAAGAAACATTCATTTTCAACATAATCATTTACACATATATAACAACAATTTCTGTGAACAATTGCTCTGCACTAATGTAAACATGAATAACTTTAGAGAGAAACATGCAATGCTTTCCTCCATCAAATGTACTGCCTCTGTCTTTTCACAAAATCAAGCAGGCAACTACCGTCAGAATCCAAGTGATGCTCAAGTGCTGGTTGTATTTAATTACATTTCATGTTAGCCTTTTAAAATAAGATAATGTTTTAAATATAAAATTACAAGAATAATGCAAAATGCATTTGTTTTAAAAATATAATGAATATAACCCCACCTCCAACTCATTTACAATAAGGACAACCCTGAAATCTGTAAATATGAGTTGCCAGACATTTGCACTGCAGTAATGTAAAACGTAACTTTAGACATTTGCACTGCAGTATAAATATAAATAATGACATTTCCCTTACAGCGATGTGTTAAAATACAACATTAAACAATTGTTAAATAAGAAGTTGTGTGAGTGTTTTGTTCAAATCTGCAGTCATTTCTGCAGGTGAAAGTAAAAAAAAAGAAAGATGAAAAGAAAGAAATGGTCAGCTTCTTCTGAAACATTTAATGTGTTTTGTAGATGAGCTGGATCATCATGTCATCCTGAGAATAAATAACCTCACACTCAAACTATGCAGCTTCTCTGACTCCATCATCGACCCGAAACGCGTCACGCTGATCTCTCCTGTCCTTACAGGAAACCTGGAGACCTATAGTTAACAACTCATACTAGTTCATACTTCTGGAAATTAGGGACACCATGTACATATATGTAAATGGATATATATTCAGAAGGATAGAAATGATACAGGTAATTAAAATTAACATAAAAATCAATATGAACTGTGAGAAACAGACACGGCTAACAATTTATTGCTATTCGTATATAAAGCATGACGATACTCGCCCTCTCAATGATGAATGTAACTCGAAATGTAGAAGTTGAACCTCTTCTCTTCTTTGCTTGATGTGACAGCGCTCTCCTAGAAACAGCGAGTGTTATCTATCATCCTCACCTGCGCTATCCGCTTAAAGTGAGTGAGCGCCGTGCTGCACCGGAGGTGTCATGTGGACTAACCGCAAACATGGAAGAGATCGTGCGTAGAGTCCATTAAATGTTAGTAGTAGTCGAGTTGAACTGTCATGGATATTATACTTGGCATACTTATACTATGAATATAAATCTCATCAAGTCGCAGATTCAGCCAAGTTCACTTCTTTTCTGATCATCAACAGCTGCTCATGTGAAGATATAAAGGTGAGTTGCTCTTCCACAGTCCTACAATTCTTCTCATCAGTTTGAGTCATTAAAGCAATTAATACTTCAATTATTGAAATATGTGTCTGCTACTTTACCAATAGGAGATCAGGAGTTTTACTTAATGAACCCTTGAGAACAGAGTGAATTTCACACGATGTTATCACAAATGAAATATTCAGAGTAGATTTGGAGTCAGAGAGTTTTATAAGGTTCACTGATATTTTGTTTATGTTGATTTCCAGGTTCTGTCATTTTGGTCATAAGTACAAGATACAGGTACATTTTCACAGCAAATGGAAATCTTAAATCTTAGATTAAATACACACTGAATTTGAGATGATGTGGGCAAGCGAAATATAATGCATGTGGGATTTTCAATGTTTTCACTTCTGTATTACTCACAGCGCATGACAAGTCTAAATGTGGACTGTTTCAAACTGAATGAGTGTTATTTTTGTTGTAGTGAAATTGATGCTGACTGGTAATAAATAATGATTAATATTTAGCTTTGAATCTATTGCCATTTAACCAAGAACGTGTTTGCTCTTTCAGAACTCTGCTGGACCCTCTGTACCTCAGACAGGAGATGACCGTAAACTAAAGTTAAGGAGGTAAAATGTTCAGGTTTTCTGTTTAATATTGCTGCTTTCATTTTTAATAATTGGCAAAACAAATTATTATTGGCTGTATTTTCACTGAGTGTGTTTACATGGACACCTTATGCTTCAGTTGATTTAGTTTGCATGTTTTGAAACTGAATACAGTAACTGGGTTAATGTGAGTGTGTTATTCCACAGGAGTCTGCCTAAAAAATAGATTTAAATGATGGAGAGCACTGAAACTGTTCCCTATACAACCTTCAGATCACCATGCACACCAGGAACGCAGACAGACTGGATGTCAGAGATAACATTACTCGTCTACATCGTGTCATTGACAGGTGAGAAACTGTTATAGTATCGTTAGTCACGGTTCGTCTATACTTTAGTAATCTGTTAGCTGTTGTAGTTTAAACATTAATGTTTTTGAATGCTCTGAATGAAGAGAGAGAGATCTATGAGGAGACACTTTTGTCTTTCAAGCCGTTTCTGAAATCTGTTAGATGAACAAAGCAGTTTCTGCAGCGTTTGAAATGTTACGAGTTCTTCATTTCGGTAATGTTTGTTTAAAGTGATGAGGAAATAACTGCTCCACTGCTGAATCTGCTTCAGCCAGCTGATGGTGAGAAGGACATGTCCAGCGTGGGCATCGTGAAGGTGAGCCAGGCCTTCTCAGAGGATGTTGTGAACATGCTGTGATGCTGGTGGAGGGCAACTTGATTTTTGGATCTCAAATTTTTTCCAGATGCTTTTGCAACATATTTTGAACTTTATGCTTTGACCATGAACTATTGCAGAAGAAGACGCACCTCTGCAGCAAATGTGTATGAAGATTTATAATCTGCATTATTGTTCAGGAGCGATGTTGATGTGATGTGATCTTCCAGAAGAGTGTTTTGAATATTGTAGTTAGGTAATTAAATATGGTAGTAATATTTAAATATTGTAATACGTTGGAATATTTGGAGAAAATACAGAAAGTACACTAAAATTGAACACGCTTTCGAAGCAGACAGAAGTTTTACTCGACATAAACTATTTATTTTGTGGATTATTTAGTTTTACTTATTTAAGTTCAACTAACATTTGTTAAAACTGCATCCTACAACATTTTCCCAAAACTTCATTTATTTCCTCACAGGTTTGCTGAAGTCGTTGGTTGAGTTAGCTGAACTTTTCTAAATACTGAAGGTAAAACAAACAAAATAAATCATCTGAGTTTAAGTGGAGGTAAATGATTGTCTGCAGTGTGAGGTATAGACTTCCTTTTCTCTTCACTTTAATCTCTTTATCATGGTTGTAATAACATTATTTCAGATGCCAAACTGTCTAAAATCACTGCTGAGTTTTACTGCTGTTTCAGTGATAGTGTGGTGGATGTTTGAACTTTTATTAAATGTTGATTTTCCTCGGTCTGCTATCTGGGTACAGACACCAGAAACATCTACTGAAGTACAGGAAACAACTATTCACATCATTACATCTCTGGACAGGTGAACTTCCTGTTCTCTAACTCTCTCACACACACACACACACACACACACACACACACACACACACACACACACACACACACACACACACTAAGTCTATTTATAAACACACACTCATTATGTAAAGTGTCATGCAGTCCGTGTGTGTGTGTGTGTGCTCGTGCTCTCCTGGTTTACAGGTGGCGCTGTGGAGTGTGTGTGTGTGTGCTCGTGCTCTCCTGGTTTACAGGTGGCGCTGTGGAGCGTGTGTTTGTATGTTCTCCGCATTCGCACTCGCAGAAGGAGTTTCAGCGCTGGGCGCCATTACCGGGGCTGTGATGATGTGACTGTGGACATCTCGGCTGCTGTAAATGCGGTAAATGTGAATATTGCGGTAATTATTGCGGTAATTATTGCGGTACATGTGAATATCTCCGCTGATGTCCACGAAAGGGTGGAGCCCGGAGGCGGAGCGCGCGCTGGTGCAGCTGTGGCAGCAGTCCGCCTGCCTCTATGATCTCTCCGCCGCCGACTACCACAACCGAGAGGAGAAGGAGCGCCGGTGGAGAGAGGTGGCGGAGACCCTGCACATGTCCAGTGAGTGTGTGTGCGCGCGTGCGAGAGAGAGAGTGTTTGTTTGTTTGTGTGTGTGTGTAAGAGAGAGTGCGTGCGTGCGTGCGTGCGCTTGAGAGAGAGACAGACAGACTGAGTATGTGAGAAAGAGAGAGACTGTGTGTGTGTGTGTGTGTGTGTGTGTGTGTGTGTGTGTGTGTGTGTGTGGAGAGAGAATATGGTGTGTTAGTGTTGGTGTTACAGAGGAGCTCAGTGCAGTTATTGAACCTCCGCAGTGTGCTG